CCCACCCCCCAGAACCCCAATCAGCCCCAATTAACCACTGGGCTGCCTCCCTGCCAACTCCCACTGGGGAAAGGTTTCAGCTCCCTACAGCCCTGCCCTGGGGACAGGTGTGGCAGTGCCCACACGGACAAGCACTGCCCCGTGTCTGCTCCCTGGGGCTCTGCCACGCTGGGAAACACCAATGGCCAGGGGACAATGTCCTGCTCTGCAGCCCCTTGGGTGCTGCCCTTGCTCTGAGGGAGGGGAGCGGGGGTTCTGTGTCCTGGGCACAGCCTGGGGCTGGGCAGATTTCGCCCTGATTGGCCCGACCCTGCCCAGTACCAGCATCTACCCATGGGAATGCTCAGTGGCCTCGCCGGGCCGGAGGGCGTGCGCCGCTTGAACTGCTCCTGCCCTTCAAAGGAAAGCCAGAGTTACTGAAGCAGAGCTCCCCGAGGTGTGCTACAGATGGAAGCCCCGCTGGGGGCTGCACGGAGAGGCCAGCAGCCCCAGGATCCTTCCCAGAGAGGAGGGGACAGAGCCAGGATGGGCACGAGGGTCCGCAGGGCTGTGGGCACACCACTCACCCACGTAACTGTAGGAGACTTCTGCTGAGCCCAGGCTGTCTGTGATGCCCTCGGTGCTGCTGGAGGAGCCGTTCCCTGCAAGGACAAGGACAAAGGACAGGCAGAGGGTGGGCACAGCCCACGGGCAGGGCTGAGGGACAGGGGACAGAGCGTGGCACTCACCAAAGGAGCCGTATCCGTAGCTGTCGTAGGGGCCGTGGTTCAGGAAGGAGTTGGGGATGCTGCGGGAGTGACCTGCGGGACAGGAGGGTCCCTGTCACCCCCTGTGGCACCCCTGACTCAGGGCTGCAAGGCCATTGGGCACAGAGCAGCTCCCGCCACCCCTGCCCTGGCACGGAGCGAGCTCAGAGCCAAGGACAGAGCTGGCACCTACCCAGGAGTGACGCTGGGAGTCCCCGGAAAGCCACGAGAAGAAAGAGATAGACCTGGTGAGATGCACAGCCCCAGCACAGCCCTGCCAGCCCCACAGCAGGGACCTCCCTGTCCCCCTGACACTGGGATCTACCCCCAGGGACTCAGGGGGATGCTCCTGCAGAGGCAGAGGCTTTGCCACAGGCTCAAGAGGGCAGAACAACGAGGAACTCCCCAGGCAGAGCCCTCCATGCTGCCGGCTGCTGCCTCCAGCCCTCACCTGTGTCCAGGCTGGGCGAATCCATGGCTGCCAGGAGGCCCTTCCTCTTGTGCTGCCTGCCAAGGGGAAGTGTCTGTCAGCCCGTCTGTGACACTGCTGGGCCAGGGGACACAGCCCCAGGGTCCCCAGCAGGACTGTGCCCACGGGCTCAGCACCCAGAGGGGCAGTGACAGCCAGCACTCACCGGCAGCTCTCCCAGCAGGCGATGAGCAGCGTGAGGATGTAGAAGGAGAGGAAGATGCCGAGGCAGAAGAGCACACTGCGCACGTAGGCCTCGGCTGTGCAGAGCCAGGACAGGCCCTCAGCGGGGCTGGCACCTCGGGGGCCCTGCCATGGGTCCCCACAGAGCACCCCCAGCCCCCCCAGCCCCTCCCAGACTCACAGGTGATGGCAGGTGACACCATGACCTCCAGCATCTTCTGCCGGTTGTGCTGATCCACGGGCTCATCTGGAAGAAGGCAGGGACAGGGCTCAGCTCCCTGCCCAGTCCCCAGCTTGTCCCCACACACAGCCCACGGCGGCAGCCCCACTGCAAACCTGGAGAGGAGTTCTTGGAGAGGGGGTAGTAGGGCAGAGCCCCCCCGCACGCCTCGTCCTCCGTCTTCACCACCACCACCACGTAGAAGCTATGGCTGGGGAAATCCTTCTTCTGCAGCAAGAGATGGGGGTCAGCAGAGCCCAGCAGGGCGTCTCCCATGCCAGAGGTTATCCCTGGGACATCCTCTGTGGGTTCTGG